GAAATAATTTATGAAGTTATTAAATTTTCAACTTTTTTTTTTTAAATCCCTAGCTCAGTCGTTAAAGGCACTGCTACAAAGCAAGACCATGCTGGAGTTGCCTGGGTTCCGGTCTAGGAATTTTTCGGGATGGAAAATTTCTCGACTTTCCTGAGCACAAGAATGATTGTACTTGTCACATAATTATACTAATGCAGAAATGGTACAGGCTTAGAAAGCTCTCAATTAACAACTGTGGAAGTGCATCTAGAGCATTAAGTTGAGAGCACGCAATAAGCTAACATGCGATAAGCAATATGCTTGAAATACGGTTAAGAAGAAAGAAGAAGCATCCCTCAGTCTAATTGATAGCATTTGAACTTCGGTGGAGATCTAAAAAAAAAAAAAAAAACTTTGAATTTTTCACATCTCTGAAGATTTCTGAACTACGTACTTCAAAATTGTGGAGCATCTCAAAATTTCCCGATATATTTCTGAAATCAATGGAACTGCAATGATCTTCCCTGAAGTTTCCACTAACTCTCGATTCTTTTAAAATATTCCCGCATTTTCTTGATGGTCATGAAACTTTCTCAAAGTTCTCGGGTGACCCGTAAATGTTTCAGAACTTCCATGAAGCTCCCAAAGTTCTCTGGACTCCTGTGTTCTCGAAGGTTTCCTGAAAATTCATAACTTCACTGGAGTTCTTTGAACTTCCCTGAAATTTACGGAACTTGATTTAGGTTCCCTCAATTTTCCTGACATTAGAGTGAAATCATATATGAAGTTCTTAAATTTTCAATGAATTCCTTTATTTTTTTTTTAATTTCATGGAATTTGATTAACGTGATCGCATCTGATTCTTTGACATTTTAGAACCTCCCCAAAAAATCTAGACCTTCCTGAAGCTTGCAACAATTTCCTGGAGCTCTTAAAATTTTTCTATACGTTTCAAAAAATTTCAGAAGTTCGTTAACAAATTTCGGAAATTTGCAGAATTTTTGCTTTCACTCTGTAAATTTTGAAGAATTTATTCGTACTTTAAAAAGTTCTGTAAATGCCGAAGAAGTTGTGACGAGCCCGTTAAGGTCCTGGAAAACAATCGAACTCTTCAGAATTTGTGGGAACTCTGTTGAAATTCTGGAAACACTGTTCTACTTGTTTCTCCAACGAAGCTAAGGAATTTCCTCTAAAACTACGGGGATTTTAGTAGTTTTGGAATTTTTCCTAAAATTATTGGAACCTTCCTAAAGTTCTAGGAAGAACTTCCCTGGACTTATGGAAATAACTTTTCGGAAGTTCAAGGAATCGCTTTTCTAGAGTTCGTGGATGAACTGGCCAGAACTTCAAAAGTTCATCCCTGGAGAATTGGGAAGAAGTTCTCTTAAGTTCTGAGATGAACTTCCCTGAAGATCTGGAACGATCTTCCCTCAAGTTCTGGGATGAACTTTCCTCAAGTTCTGAGAAGAACATCCTTAAAGTTGTGGGAAGAACTTCCTTAAATTTTGGGAAGAATTTTTCTAAAGTTTTGAGAGGAAGTTTTCCTAGCCGCATACTTGGTGCAAAATGGTTGACGCAACTTATACATGACTAATTTTAGTCACAATCAAGTTGCTGCAAGATCCTGCAACAGCTTTGTGTTGATTGGGCTTCTGAAGTTCTGAGAAGAATTTCCCTAAAGTTTTGAGAACCAATTCTCTCGAGTTTGGGGATGAATTGTCCTCATGTTCTGTTCTGGGACAAGCTTTCCTTACGTTCTGGGAAGAACTTGCCTAAAGTTTTGGGAAGAGCTTCGCTGAAGTCCTGGGAAAATTTTCCAAAAGTTCTAGGAAGTACTTCCTCAAAGTTCTCTGATGAATTTCTTTAAAGTTCTGGAAAGATATTCTTCTTACGTTCTGCAGAGAACTGCCCTGGAATTGTGAAAAGTAGTTCCCTGAACTAGTAGGAATGACTTTTCTGAGGTTCTGGGAATAACTTCTTTAAAGTACTGGGAAGAACCTCTCTTGAGTTCAGGGAAGGAATTCCCTAAAGTTCTGGGAAGAAGTTCCATGAAGTTTTGAGAAAAACTTCACTCAAGTTCTGGGAAGATTTTACACCAGCCCTTGGAAGAAGGTCTGCTTAGAGAAGTCTAGAGAAGGTCTGGTTAGAACTTCCATAAAGTTCTGCGAAAAACTTCCCTGAAGATAAGGGATGATTTTTCATTAGGTTCTAGAAAAAAGCTCTATAGTTTTGGAAAGAACGTCCCTTAAGTTCACGGATGAACTTCCCTGATGTTTTTTGACCAACTTCATTGAAGTTCTGGATAGAGCTTCCCTGGAGCTCCCTGGAAGGGCATTTCTGAAGTTCATCGTTTAAGTCGTGGGAAAATTTTCCAAAAGTTCTTGGTTCCTAAAACTTCTCTGAAGAATTTCTTTTAAGTTCTGGGAGGAAATTCTTATCAAGTTCTGAAAAGAACTGCCCTTTAATTGTTGGAAGTAGTACCCTGAACTAGTAATTGTTGGAAGTAGTACCCTGAACTAGGAAAGACTTTTTTGAGGTTCAGGGAATAAATTCTCTAAAGTACTGGGAAGAACGTCCCTTGAGTTCAGGGAAGGAATTCCCTAAAGTTCAGGGAAGAAGTTCCATGAAGTTTTGAGAAAAACTTCACTCAAGTTCTGGGAAGATTTTACTGCAGCCCTTGGAAGAAGGTCTGGTTAGAGAAGTCTAGAGAAGGTCTGGTTAGAACTTCCATAAAGTTCTGCGAAAAACTTCTGATTTTTTGATCAAGTTCTCGAAAAAAGCTCTATAGTTTTGAAAAGAACGTCCCTTGAGTTCACAGGTAAACTTCCCTGATGTTTTTTTTTACCAATTTCATTGTAGTTCTGGATAGAACTTCTCTGGAGCTCACTGGAAGCGCATTTCTGAAGTTCATCACTGAAGTTGTGGGAAAATTTTCCAAAAGATCTAGGAAGTACTTCGTCAAAGTACTCTGATGAATTTCTCCAAAGTTCTGGAAAAAAATTCTTCTTACGTTCTGGAAAGAACTGCCCTGGAATTGTGGGAAGTAATTCCCTGAACTAGTAAGGACTTTTCTGAGGTTCTGGGAATAACTTCTTTAAAGTACTGGGAAAAACATCCCTTAAGCTAAGGGAAAAAAATCCCTAAAGTTCAGGGAAGAAGTTCCATGAAGCTTTGAGAAATACTTCACTCAAGTTCTGTGAAGATTTTACAGCAGTCCTGGGAAGAACTTTTCTGCAGTTCTAGAAAGAATTTGCTGTTAGGTCTGGGAAGAACTTCCCTGAAGATAAGGGGTGATTTTTTATTAAGTTCTCGAAACAAGCTCTTGATAGGACATTCCTATAGGTTTGGAAAGAACGTCTCTTAAGTTTTTTTTTTATTATTAATTTATTTGATAAGGCTCAATCGAATTAACTTTACAGAGCCGAGGATTCTTGGTCACTACAATACATCTTAAAACTATAGTCAAAAGGTACAACACAATAAACATTTTATCTTCTGCTATCCAAAAAGCCTCCTCCATCAGAACTGGAGCCACTTCCAGTAGTTTCATTGTATGGCAAATTGTTGTACGCCAACGAGGGTCAGAGCGCGTCCATTGCAGCAATGGACGCAAAACGTGGTTAGCACTGACACACTCATCACGAAACGGTTGCTTTTCAAAGTCGACGACGCATCGACCGAAAGAACTGCTGATGAAGAACAATGAGGAGGACCACACAATGGTTGCTGCCGAGAAAACAGACGATCGCGTGGCACACATCGAGAGTGTCGACAGCCGAGTGAACACTCGTCCCTTAAGTTCACGGATGAACTTTCCTGATGTTTTTTGACAAACTTCATTGAAGTTCGGGAAAGAACTTCCCTGGAAGAGCATTTCTGAAGTTTGGGTAAGAACTTTTTAGAAGTTGTGGAAAGAGCTTCTCTCATGTTCTGGATAGAACTACCCTCATGTTTTGGGAAGAACATCTCTGAAGTTCTAGATAAAACTTCCCTGGAATTCTGCGAAGAACTTTTCTGTAGTTCTGAGAAGGACTTTTCTGATTTTTTTTTGGGAAGAACATCCCTAATGTTCTTTAAAGTTTTGAGAAGAGCTTTCCTGAAGTTTTGGAAAGAACTTCTTTGATATTCTGGGAAGAACATCTCTAAAGTTTCTGGAGTTCTGGGAAGACCCTTCAGTTCTGAGAAATTTTGCCTCAAGTTGTGGATTGAACTTTTCTAGAGTTCTTGGTCAAGTCTTCAGGTTCAGCAGGTTTTATTCTGAAGATCTTCAACTGTCCAGGAATTCAAATAGCGTCTCTCAGATATTCACCCATGATACCAGTAGGATCAGAAATTATTTCAAAACCTACAGATGATCAGAGATTCTTCTCTCAATCCTCAGGATATTTTTTTTAAGTTTTCAGCTTTATCAGGGAACAATCTCCAACTGTCCATAAATTTAAATGTCTCTCCGATTTCACCTATGATACTAGGATGATCATAAATTATTTCAAATATCTAGAGATGATCAGAGGCCTCCCTGAAGTCCTCAGGAATTGTTTTCAAGACGTCAGATATTCGTAGACTTAGTTGAAGTTAGAATTCCAAGTGAAGAGTTTTTAAGAAAACTTTAAGCAATATTTGAGGGTTCATTTCATGTTAGTTTTGATGAACTCCTGATTCTAGGTAAGAGAATTCTATGGTAGTTCTCAGTAGAATCCCAGGAAAATCATAATTCTGAGAAGGTAATTCCAAGAGTGTTCTGGGTGGTATCGTGTGTGTTAAGGATAGTTACTGCAACTCACGACTAGCTCGAGCGTTACTAGATTCGTGCTCACAATTCTGCTTCATGACGACGAACTTCTCCAGTAAACTCAAGCTTCGAGCTTCACCTGAACACCTGTCGGCAACCTTGCCTGCACGAAGAATTAACTTGAACTACTGGACGCTCCCGACTAACATCAGCTTCACGGATCCCCAGTTCCACGAATACAGTCTTCCGATGGGTGGTTTCCGGTCGAGCAGCCGATCAACCAGTCACGATGCATCGCACATTGTCGTATTCGTGCACACTTGCAAACCTGCAAGAACAGTTGACGAAGTTCTGGGAGATAGAAACCTGTCGTTCCAGTAGTAGTCAATCGGTAGAGGAGACGGCGTGTGAAGCATTCTTCGATCAAACAACCACTCGTGATGATGCAGGCAGATTTATCGTCGCACTTCAAAAGCGTGAATTCATCATCAATCAGCTCGGCGAGTCCAGAAACATAGCGACAAGGAGATTTTTGAGCTTAGAGAGGCGGTTCCAGTTGAATCCCGAGTTGAAGACAGCGTACGCAGATTTCATCCACGAGTACGAGCGACTTGGTCATATGGTGCAATTTCCAGACGTCGAAGAGCAGTTTCCCGTGTACTATCTTCATTCCAAACTGGACAGTACAACAACGAAACTACGTGTCGTTTTCAACGCGTCGTGTAAGACCAGCAGCGGTGTATCTCTCAACGAGACACTAATGGTTGGACCTGCAGTTCAGGAGGACTTGATCGCCATCACACTCCGATTCCGTTTGTTCCGCATTGCCATTGTAGCGGATGTGGAAAAAATGCATCGGATGATACTCATCTATCTACTCGTATACCGAGATTTCCCTGGCGACTGGCAGAAGAAGGAGCTCTCGCTTATTCTCGTGCGGCTAAGGTGTTGAAGAAAGAGTTTTACGACATGCTGACTGGAGCGGACAACGTCGACGAAGCGAAGCAGCTGGCAAAGGAAATGATCACGCTAACTTCATCAGGTGGATTCAACCTGCGAAATTGGAACTCCAACTGCAAGGAATTGTTAGCCGAATTTCCATCCGATCTCCTAGATGATCGTTCCACTTTAGAGCTTGATTCCTCAACTTCACCAGTGAAAACTTTGGGGTTACTGTGGGAGCCGCATTCAGACAATTTCCGATACCATTCTCCTAAGTGAGACAACAAAGCAGTGCTCACGAAACGTGTCGTTCTCGCAGAAGCAGCTCGCCTGTTTGACCCGTTAGGATTGATAAGTCCAGTTGTCGTAATTGCCAAGATATTTCTCCAAGAATTGTGGAAACAGCAGTGCGGTTGGGATGATCGACTACCCGTAGCGATGCAGAACTTTTGGCAGGAGTATAGGATGAATTTGACAGCCCTCTAGTCGTTTTCAGTTCCTCGGTGGATAGGATACACATCTGATGCAATTTCGGGCGAGTTGCACGGTTTCTGTGACGCATAAGACAAGGCATATGGTGCATGCCTCTACATGCGGTGTACGCTGTCGGATGGCTCAGTAGAAGTTCGGCTGCTGATTTCCAAATCGAGAGTAACACCACTGGAGGATCTCAAGCGCAACAAGAAGAAGTTAACCACCCCTCGCCTCGAGCTGTCATCCGCACTGCTCCTCAGTCATCTGTACTCGAAGGTCAAGCACAGCATTCGTATTCCGCACACCACAAGCTTCTGGACAGACTCGACAATCGTAATGCATTGGTTATCTTCGCTGCCATCGAGGTGGCAGATGTTCGTAGCGAATCACGTGTCCGAGATTCAGCACATTACGAAGGGTTTCGATTGGAATCATGTCGCTGGCTTGGAGAACCCAGCAGACATCATTTCACGAGGGATGATACCGGCTCAGCTTCAGTACAGCACGATTTGGTTTGAAGGTCCACCATGGCTGCGTCGAGACCGCAGCACCTGGCCGGTGGGAAGTCCTGAAGAAGATTTCGAGCAATCACTGCTAGAAGAGCGAAGTGCGGTCGCAATTCCAGCACAGTACAAGCCACCTAGCGACATCTTTTCACTTCATTCCTCTCTATCTACGCTGATCCATAAAGTTGCATGGATTCGTCGCTTCATCCACAACTGTCACCATCGCGAAGAAAGACGCAATGGGTATCTCAGTCACGCTGAACTTCAAGAAGCTATGCTATCACTAGTCCGTTTGTCTCAGAGGGAATCGTTTCCGGAGGCGATTTCTGCACTCCAGAGCGAAAATTAAGTCAAGCCGTCGTCATCGATCAACAAAATCACACCAATTCTCGTTGACAGGGTACTGTACGTAAGTGGCCGGCTATCTAAGGCACCTATTCCAGCGAGTCGCAAGCATCCAACGATTCTCAGCTTTCATCATCCCCTGAGCAAACTAGTAGTCATACACTACCACCACCCTAGTAGCACGCTTGTCACAAATCAATTGTAGAAACTTATATACGACTTATTTCAGTCATAAACAAGTTGCTGTAACTTATGGTGATGAAAGTGTGCTACTCGGGCAGGAATTGTTCCACGCTGAGCAACAGCTTCTCATAAGTAGAGTACGGGAGAAGTACTGGCCCACGCAGATCAGAAGATTAGCCAACACCGTAATCAAAGAATGCGTGGCGTGCTTCCGATGCAGACCGAAACTGTTGGATTAGCTGATGGCAGATTTGCCATCGGAACGAGTTACACCTGCGCCACAGTTCCTGAAAGTTGGTGTCGATTACTGTGGAAATCTTCGTCTGCTTGGTCACGAAGGCTGTTCATCTGGAGCTGGTGGGAGATTTAACATGCGAAGCCTTCCTCGCATCATTCAAGCGTTTCGTCGCACGAAGAGGCAAACCAACTCTGGTAATGTGTGACAACGCTCTCAACTTCGGCCGAGCAAGCCGCAAACTCGACGAACTACACGAACAATTCCGTAACCAGCAGTTCCAGCAGTCAGTCGTAAATATAGCTGAAGAAGACGAGATAGAATTCCGATTCATCTCAGCACGTTCGCCCAATTTTGGTGGCCTTTGGGAAGCTGCCGTAAAATCCTTCAAAGGCCACTTCAAACGCACCATAGGATCCAGAACGTTATTGCACGACGAAATGCAAACGGTGATAGTTCAAGTGGAAGCGATCCTCAACTCCCGTCCGTTGACGCCGATCAGCAATGACCCAACGAAGCATTGACGCCTGGTCTAACAGCTGTTCCAGAGCCGGACCTTAGTCACATCCCGGAGAATGGTTTTTCACTGTGGCAAAAATTGCAAGACTTCGTGCAGCAGATATGGAAGAAATGGTCCTCACCATACCTGTCCGATCTCCATAACCGAACCAAGTGGACTCGTCGACGCAATGACATCTCCGTTGATACAATGGTTCTCGTAAAGGAGGACAATCTTCCACCGATGAAATGGAAGCTGGGTCGAGTAGTAGAGGTTCACGCGGGTACCGATGGGAATATCCGTGTGGTGACCTTGAGAACGAACGGTCTTTTCCGGAGAGCCATCTCGAAGATTTGCGTCCTTCCCATTCGGGACAATCAAGCTGTGTCCAGTTCTGAGGAGAATTGAAACTCCTTCGCTTCAGCGCTTCCGTTCACTATTCGAACAACTCCACAAACCAGTTCAACCAGTCCAGTTATCAGTTATGTCGTCCAGTCAGTCAAGCATGTTAAATGTCCATAATGATGTCCTGTCCAGTCCTGAAATAAATATCCAACGAAGGGAGCAATCCATGGCACTCTCCTTCTCAGCGCAACATCCAATACCATCAACGGGTTTGCCCAATCCATACCGGTGGTTCTTCAACGCTGAAGTCGATGTCATCACAGCAGTCTGCTAACCATTCTACTGGCATAGAGTATCACGATGATCAACGGATTATCGTCATCGGCGCTGTAGGCGCTCAGGCAAGTTAATCTATCAGGCAAGTTATTCTGTATTTCTGTAATTCAGTTGAAAAAGGCCCCTCTCATTTTGTAGGGCAATCGGCACTCGTGGAGGCCAGGAGGCACCCGAGTCAGGCATCGTGGACATCCCGACATTCCGAAGTCATCCGTCATTCCGTGTGATACCCCAAGACGCAACAACATCAGTCGCTGGTAGTTGAGCCAGGAAGCAAGGAATCAAGATTCGTGGAATCAACCGGAGATGAACAGAGTGGTGCTCCGGACGGGTCGGAAGCGTTACTCCTACGATCCATTCATCAAAGTAACCGAAGCAATCGAAATCAAGAACGACCGAAGAAGGGAAGCAGGCGACAGGACAGTTTTCCTAGGTAAAATAAAAATGGTTTATGTCCTACCGTAGCCAGGACTAGGAAATACTGCACCCTAATTGATTTCTCCAACACTTCCATGGTATGTGGCATAATGTCAGCAACAGCATCCGAGCGCATCATCAGCAGTGACGCCAGAGCCTACAAAGCCAAGTGAGATGCGGACGGAATCCAGTATCTAAAAAAAGGATCGTGAAAAATTTATGTTAGATATAGTGATTAGTGTAGATTTAGTTAGGAACAGTAGGAGTAATTTGTCGAAATTAACATTTCAAGGTGGCCGGTATGTTGGCACAAAATAAGAAATTGGTCACCCTACACTAAATCGTTATACAGATACACACTGTCTCTGTTATCACCATTGTAACGGTCAAAACTAATCTAAAGGTCGGTCGGTTGGGAGAAAATTACGAACAGCTGATCGACACTGCAGCGCTGCCAGATCAACCAGGTGAATGTATACGGTTGAACCGGTGGTGCGAGAGCTGCTGTGTGATTGCATGCAAGTTGGTTGCAGAAGGTTACTCTGTCCGTCCGTCTATCCAAAAAATCAATTTAGGAATAAACAGTGTCCGACATAGTTTACCACTTGACCGCAATCAAAGTGTTTTCTGTGTTTTACCAAACGTCGCGTGTGCATTGTAAAAAAGTACCGAAATCCGAAGAAACTGTCCGTTCGGTAATACAGTCCACCCTAGTGTCGAACATGAGGGAATATTCCTAAATTACAACCCTTAAAAGGGGCGCATAGATTTCAGTTGGGCGGGGGCTCATCAATGAAAAATGAGTAAGTAACAAGCTCTAGATTTACCATGACCGCACTGCATTCGACCTTTTGTCCTCTAAGTTCAGTTCGACCTTTTGTCTTAGATTCGTATGAGAATTTGAAAATTGAAAACTTAAAGGACCGCACAGCCGAAAATATACCAGGCCCCCCAAGGGTGGTAAAGACGGCCCTACCCCCAACCTCTGCCTTGGTTAAACCGTGCCTCAACTGACTACGCCGTCTGATGCCCAATGTTAGTCCGCAGCAATATCGTTTGGATCTCTGAGTCTAAGCATTTACAGCTTTGATCTGGCAATAGCGGGTGTTCAATCATGTTCAATCATCTTAAACATCAAAAGGACAGTTTGGTTGAAAACTGGTGGAGCACGATCTTGGCAAGTGTCGGCCACTCGCGGAATTGCTAACACTTCACAGAATTCCAAAACACGAAGAGGGACGCTGACTGGAAGAAAGGCAATCCTCCTTCTGATTTATTCCCATCGTCGGTTGAAATTACATAACACACTCGATGACACTTTAGTGGTTTCAAATAATTAATTTACTCAACGACTCGTCGTCGTCGTCGTCGTCGTCGCTCGGTGGCTTGGAAAAACTTCAGCACACAAAGGCTTCATGCCAGCAGGGGGGGTCCTATAGGGATGCATAAAACCTGAGCTGCTGTTTAAATTTACGATTATTGATTGTAATTGCAGCCGAACACGTACCCCCGTGATTGTTTGCATGTTTGCCAACGCTGCGAAGGTTAATTACTGTTCCGAACGTGTGTCGCTTGAAAGGCGGGGAAAATTAAAATCAATTTGCTTTCCGGCGCCGTGTGTCGGAACTCGCGAGGGGTTATTAGCACAACTAAATGCCATGATATCATTA